ATCTGGACAGGTCATTGGATATCGTGAGCTTCCTTTGTAATGGCTTCTAGTGTGTTTCCATGTCAAATTCAAGGTGTTAATATTGACATATAAAGCCCTTAATGGTTTGGGACTTCAATTCTTGTTGAAGCTTCTCTTCTTAAGATTTTCTACCTGTGCAGGGTCCCAAGTTGTTTTTTTTTTTTGGGGGGGTGGCCACCTTGAAGGACACCCAGGAAATGAGAACTAAGTGGTGGCTGTGTCACTTTGCAATGCTCTGCCTATGTAGGTACACCAGGACCCTGTCCCTTTTAACTTTTTCAGAAGCTTGTTAAAATAGAGCTCTTTAAAGAGGGCTTTAAAAAAATATCCACCTAGAGTATATTTTTGACCCATTATGTTTAAATCAATATCCTTAGCTATCACCATTGGGGGCTTTTCTATTTTGTTTCTCTATGGTTTGGGGTGGGTATTCTTTTATTGGTTGTCAGCCATGCAGAGTAGTGGCTTGCCACTAGAAGGATAGTATACAAATTAGGCAGACAGATGGATAGATGAGCTATAACTGAAATGCACACCTTGCTGGTTGTTGGTAGCCCAGTTCTACAAGTGATGCAGAAAGATGAGAAGAAAATACTGAATAGACCACCTGGAAGTACTAATGACATGCCTTTGGAGTCCAGAAGTGTCCTTGCGTCTCTTTTCCCAAGTGGTAAAATGGCCAGAAACATCCTGAGGCAGATTCTGGTAGTTCAGTACAATATCTCTTATGGATCAGAATGGAATTACCAAGTTTTAAAATGACCAAATTCTCTTTGGGGAGGATTTTGACCAAGGTATATGTATATATGTTTGTGTTCTAGGAACTGAATGTACATAACTGAAACTGCTCAGTCAGTTTTTCCAGTTGAATCTATGTAAATGATTTTGAAAAAAACAATTATTCTTACTCTTAAGCAGGCTTCCGTACCTTTATGAACTGCTTTTTATCTTGATATAGGTATATACTTAGCTGCTATGATTGGCTAGTGAGGAGTTTTGCCTGATTTAGATTAACTAAATATGCATTTAATTTTTCTTGAGACAGAAGATTATCATTGCTGCTCACTGAGCCTATAGATGGCAGTTTAGTAGCAGTGTTCATTAATGAGAAGGTCATCTTGAGATAATTCAGCTTTTATATGTCTAAGGTCATGCCTTCTTGTGTATTTTATTACATTATGATTGCTGGCCTTTCTATGATTGAAGGACAGGTGACATTGTATTAGTCTTATATAAAATATTAAGCACATTTTTCTTTTAAAAAATCATTCATCTTAAGTATGTTGATATATTTGGAGTATTTCCAGTATTTCTCTTTGTGAACATGTTTGTCTGTCCCATACAGAAGTCACAGAATCTACTTTTGCTACTTGTTATGCCTTGGCCTATAACATTATAGCATGTTATAATAAAGATTAATGTACTCATCTGTAATGCTATTGATGATGGAGGAATAGGGATGCTAGACTCTTATCCACTTTAGGTGCAAGTAGACGTATCTCAAACAAGAGTTTGGAGTAGTTACTGGTTCTGCATCTTCTTCCATTTGTGCTGGTCAGATGATTTTGGAGCTAAATGCACCCATCACTTCCATCCACCAATCTGCCTTCTTATCCCAAAGCTTTACCCCATGCAAACAAGATGTGAGAGACCACAGGTACTCAAAATTTATATTAAATTCCCCAGTGAATTGAAACCCTTTATGGGAATGTCTGATATCATAATACATAAGTAACATTGAGTCCTAAACCCTTATTCTCTCATTTATCAGTAATATACTAATTTAGGATATGCTCTTTGAGAGGTTATCTGCTGTAGGGATGATCTTAAGTTTTAGAATAGGGAAGCTGAAAGAGTTAACACTAGGAACTGTTCTTTTCGGTCAAGGTCCTTGCCTTTGGAACAAGCTGTTAACAGAAGTTCACCAGGCACCTTCCATCTCAGTGTTTAAGGTATTAGTAAAAACAGTATTATTTAAAAATGCCTTTTATTAGTTATTGTTGTACTTCAGATATTCAAATGTATTTTAGTAATTTGTTTAATTCTATTTAAGATAGGTTTTAAAATAGTGATAGGGTTTTATCTATTTCATGTTGTTTGTTGTATTGTATATGGTATTATTTAATACAATATATGTAATGTTGTGAACCACCCTGAGAAGATGTGCACTACGGAGTGGTATATAAGTTGAAATAACTAAATAAAATATTAATTGTATAGAATGATTTCATTTTTTATTGCAAAACCTGGAAATAAAGGGTTATGAGTAACATATTTGCAACTATTATTTTGTAAAAAGAGTGCAATGAAGTTACAATTGAAAAGTAAAAAGTAGGCATAAGGTTACTTTATTGGCATAATGAATAATATTGATATAGAAAAGATGCTCATATTGAACAAGTTTTGCTTACATATATATCGAGTTCTGCTTTTAGCAATCTTGGCCTACCATATTATGCTATGCTTGTTACTCTCTGCCTTTGCTATGTAGCCTCTAAGGAATTTCTGGTATGGGACGGTGCCAGGCACCGGGGATGGGGAATGGCTGGCTTGTCTTACAAAGGTAGAGTTTTGTAGAAAAATAAAATGTCATATAAATCACGTAGAGAGGAGGGGAATAGGAGGGGAGATGTTAGTCAGAATGTGAGCTCTAATGAGACAGATAGGAAAACTGGGGGTGGTACTGGTATATAAACTTATGCATAACACTTTTTTGGCAGAGTGAGAGACTGTGATTGATTTGCTAATTGCTCTCTCTTGCTCTCCGCATTTGCAACTGCGTAACAATAAAAGAACTCCTTTTCACTTTCACCCGTATTATTTTGTAAAAAGAGTGCAATTAAGTTACATTTCAAAAGTAAAAAATAGGCATAAGGTTACTTTATTGGCAAAATGAATATTTTCCAGGGACTTCCAAAAATTATCTCTGAAAGAAGGTTCAACAGGAATGTTCTAAATTTTATGCTGTTCTCTTATCAAAGGATGATCTGAGGAATAAGGTCCTTCTGTCTATATATTCATTTCCATGCAGATATGTACTAGGAATTTCTGGTATGGGACGGTGCCAGGCACCGGGGATGGGGAATGGCTGGCTTGTCTTACAAAGGTAGAGTTTTGTAGAAAAATAAAATGTCATATAAATCACGTAGAGAGGAGGGGAATAGGAGGGGAGATGTTAGTCAGAATGTGAGCTCTAATGAGACAGATAGGAAAACTGGGGGTGGTACTGGTATATAAACTTATGCATAACACTTTTTTGGCAGAGTGAGAGACTGTGATTGATTTGCTAATTGCTCTCTCTTGCTCTCCGCATTTGCAACTGCGTAACAATAAAAGAACTCCTTTTCACTTTCACCCCAGCCTTGTAGATTTATTTCTACTATAAGTGGATATTTCCATAACAATATTTTCTAGGGACTTCCAAAAATTACTTCTGAAAGAAGGTTCAACAGGAGTGTTCTAAGTTTTATGCTGTTCTCTTATCAAAGGATGATCTGAGGAATAAGGTCCTTCTGTCTATATATTCATTTCCATGCAGATATGTACTCTTCCTCAGTGTAAGCTGAATTGCACAGTCACCTCCAATAGTAATCAGTACAGTATCAATATTAGAAATTAAACAGGACATGAATATTGAGAGGGCTGGGTTTGCTAACGCCACTCCTTCCTTCTCAAGTTTTCTTTTCAACTCTGTCTTGTAGAGCAGTTATGTTACTTTTGGTCTTGACAGGTGCGGAGGCAGCCATGGTTCCCTGCATCTTTACCGTGGTTAGAATTAAGATTTCTATTATCATTCCTGTCTCAATGCATTTCTGTAACACTAGCTTTCTTCTTTTCTTAGAAACAGAGGCGTGGGTGTGCTTTCTTTCCAAAGAGGGAAGTGCTTTGCTATCTATTCCAATATTAAGGCTGAACCATAAATTAACTGCTGCTGCTCTGCTAACAATCACAGATTGCAGTTCTAATTTGAATAAAAATGGATTTGGTGGATTTGAGCAGGCTAAGTTAAAATTTAAATGAATGCAAAAGACACCTGATAAATCTGTTCTAAAATGTAGCTTAATATATACTTTTTATTTTATTTATTTATTCGATTTATATCCCGCCCATCTGGTCTGGTCGACCACTCTGGGCGGCTAAATATAGTTACTATAGACAGCTTAGATTAAGATCCTGAAAAGACATGCCCCTTAGACACATTAGAATGAGACTACAGTATATAACTGTAGGCCAGGTGGAAAAACAGAAAATGGACTGAGTGGTATTAGTTTATTAGTAAAGTAATAGGACTTTCAGACTGTGAATGACGTCAATTCACAATAGCAACCTGAGAGTTTTCTTTACTAATATACCAACGCCACTTTGTCCTTTATCTGTATCCCCACCTGGTCATGTATAAATACGGCAGTCATATAGTCTTACTCTAATGTCCGAGGAAGTGGACTCGATCTATAAAAGCTGATATTAAAATATAATTAGTTTTCAAGGTGCCACAACGTTTTTGGCTGTGTTTTTCCCCCTTTCTCTTTTTGGTCTGATATGCTTGTACTGTACCCGATAACACGGCTTCTTCTTTGAAACCTATCCCTTTGGGAGGGAATGGATCAGATGTTTGTACTGCCGGGGGAAGAACCGCTGATGAAAAACCTATTGACACATCATCATCCATCCACAACTGATTCAGTTTATTGAGGCAACGGGAACGGACTATCACACTCCCCGCCCCCAGGAGACCGCCATATGCGGACACCGACTCCCCTTAGCGACGCGACGCACAGTAAGGGGAGGAGCTCTCCCCTCCGCCCTCCTCAGCTCAGGCTCTCAGTTACGCCCCTTTCCTCCTGGCATGTCCTCCTCCAATCGAGGGCCAACCAACCCCCAACATCCGGGTATGCTTTGGCTTCGGGTCGCCATGGTTTCCCTTCGGTGTCACGACAATTTCCTTCCTCCCTCCCGGAACCAATCTTTGAGGGCTCATGTTTCCGGGAGAGGGGAAGTGGGGAACGGGATGGGCTGGCACGTTGTTTCTTTTCGGACTGCCGGAGACGCTGAACTGGGGTTGCACCGGGAAGAAGCCGATGGTACGCGGTGGGCTTTGAGGCGGTGTGAATAGAAACGAGTGGACGGAGGGAGGGTGTGCCATATATTCAGGCTCTCGGTCGTTTTGCGACCCGGGGAGAAGGGGGCCAGGCGTTCAAATTATCCTCGTTTTTTTTTGAACGATCGTTCTGTTTTTCTCCTACTTTTTATGTCCTAATTCCCGAAATGTAGCATTAAAGTGACGAGCCGTAGAAAATAGGAATAAAATCAGTGATCACAAAGAAGTTGACATCTTAAAGCAGAGTGTGTACAAGTGCCTGTGTATGTTGGTTTAGCAGAGATGGAGAGCACGTGGCTGTCCAGGTATTGGACTAAAATTCCGTTCACCATTCATTGGCTGGATATGGCAAAAGGAGGATGCGTTCCAAAAACGATGAAAGGCCAATATTTCTCAGCTCTGATCTGTATACTTGCATATTTTTTTACAGTTATCGACATGTACTTGGATTGGTATGGACTAAGCCTTCATCATCTTGGCTTAGGGTACCTCTGACCCTGCCCGGGAATAACATCGTGGGCCTAGAACTAATTATTAAGATCTGCGTGTTCCACCCCATGAACAAGGACTATAAATTAGTACCACCATTGATATTAAGGACAAGGCTACAAGGTGGAGAAACTTAGGTTTTGGAACATATGTGGGGACTGCTATCGTGTTTTTAATTCATAAATTTAATTTTTTTTTCTTTTTGTTAAATTTAATTAATTTAAATTAAGTTAATTTAATATTTATTTTTTAATTATTTTATTCTAATTATTACTAATGACTGACACTACCTTGTTTTAACCAACGTGGTCCTGACTGCTGAGCAAATGTGGTGCCCACTAGGTGCTTTTTCTCATCTATCCTACCCCACAAAGACTGTGGGGAAAAATGATGAGGGTTGTGGTCCTAATATCTGGAAGGAATTGTCTTGGGGAAATCTTTAGCACTTCTTTACAAGGCTCCTGTAATGCTTAACCTGCCATTTCAGATATTGCAATGGGAGAATTTTGAGGAATGAAAAGCCTCAGGGAAGCATTTGTATATTAGTGCATGGTTAATTAAGAGAGTAAACACTTTCTCTGCTTTTTGCCTGTACAAAAAAAGTACGGGCAAGCTTTTAGTTTTTGGCCAGAATCCATTTTCTAGTCCCAGACATAGCAGACCAATTGAATCACTGATATTTATGTAACTGTTCAGCAGTTGATTCAGTGGGCCTGCTTTAGTTGAGACTGATAGTAGGATCCAGTTAAGCCGGGTGTACGGTTGATACAGCAGGCAGAGAGTAGGATTCAGCATATAACTGGAGGACATTCAGACAGGGAACTTGATAGTAAAGTAGGGATTTCACATGTGTTCAAGATTGCTCTTGATTTCATATATTCAGGCTCTCGGTCGTTTTGCGACCCGGGGAGAAGGGGGGCAGGCGTTCAAATTATCCTCGTTTTTTTTGAACGATCGTTCTGTTTTTCTCCTACTTTTTATGTCCTAATTCCCGAAATGTAGCATTAAAGTGACGAGCCGTAGAAAATAGGAATAAAATCAGTGATCACAAAGAAGTTGACATCTTAAAGCAGAGTGTGTACAAGTGCCTGTGTATGTTGGTTTAGCAGAGATGGAGAGCACGTGGCTGTCCAGGTATTGGACTAAAATTCCGTTCACCATTCATTGGCTGGATATGGCAAAAGGAGGATGCGTTCCAAAAACGATGAAAGGCCAATATTTCTCAGCTCTGATCTGTATACTTGCATATTTTTTTACAGTTATCGACATGTAATATATGACATGTACTGTACTTCATACACAGATTAGTGATATGTACAGTCATAATAATTTTCATGTGAGAGAGTGGACATGTGCTTATACAGGGGGCTCTGGGTGAATATAATATATTTGCCCCCTTAAGGTTTTATTTTTTTTAACACAGAAGAACATATAAATGTTCATTGCAATCTTTACATTGTTAAGCATTCAGGTTTCTTGATTAACAGTAACAGGAAGTTTGGGACAGGAAGAAATAATTTTGAACAGATTACTTTTTAAAACAAAAATTAAGTAAATGGTCATCAAAGTGGGGCTGGTACTCAGAAATACGTCATTCTATGAAGTGTGATCTGTTGCACAGGAATGTGCATGTGTACCATCTCAGAATCTCTGTGGTAGCTGCCTAGTAACAAATTCTTGTTCTTACAGTTGAAAACAAAGTTAGATCTCTGAATTAAATGTCTTTATAGTACTCCCCATTAACCAACGTGGTCCTGACTGCTGAGCAAATGTGGTGCCCACTAGGTGCTTTTTCTCATCTATCCTACCCCACAAAGACTGTGGGGAAAAATGATGAGGGTTGTGGTCCTAATATCTGGAAGGAATTGTCTTGGGGAAATCTTTAGCACTTCTTTACAAGGCTCCTGTAATGCTTAACCTGCCATTTCAGATATTGCAATGGGAGAGTTTTGAGGAATGAAAAGCCTCAGGGAAGCATTTGTATATTAGTGCATGGTTAATTAAGAGAGTAAACACTTTCTCTGCTTTTTGCCTCTACAAAAAAAGTACGGGCAAGCTTTTAGTTTTTGGCCAGAATCCATTTTCTAGTCCCAGACATAGCAGACCAATTGAATCACTGATATTTATGTAACTGTTCAGCAGTTGATTCAGTGGGCCTGCTTTAGTTGAGACTGATAGTAGGATCCAGTTAAGCCGGGTGTACGGTTGATACAGCAGGCAGAGAGTAGGATTCAGCATGTAACTGGAGGACATTCAGACAGGGAACTTGATAGTAAAGTAGGGATTTCACATGTGTTCAAGATTGCTCTTGATTTCACTTATGAGATATGAGAAGATATGTGTCGAAGTATCACATTTTTTTCCAGTTAGAGCCGACCAGATGTAGGTGAGGAAATCGGTGTCAGTCACCAAGTACTGAAGGTGCATATTGCATAAACCTAAGAATGTATTTTTTTCACGTTTTGATAATGTGGAAATAACTTGTTTTCTTATCCATGTAATGATCCATATTAGAGATGGAGGTATTCGTAAACATGGGGATATTCATATACAAATGTGAATATCTCAGTGTAGCTGGATTTAACGAGTCCACTCATGCATCCGACTGTGGATTCCTTCCAATCATTCCTGGAGCCCCACTTAGCTAGCCACTCCTGGCAATGGGACGGAGGATGAGTGTCCCTGAAAAACTGCTGATTCGCTAGCTGAGCAGAAAGAGAGTGGGGCTTCAGGAGTGATTGGAAGGATGTGTGAGGCTGCCAGACGATGCATGAGTAGACAGTCCAGCCCAAGGGAGTGGACCCTCCTTAACTTCAGCTTCAGGGGATATTTGTATATGAATACGAATAACCCCATTTCTCATCCATATTGTCTCTAACAGGTATTTTTTAAAAACTGCTATTGCTAAAGGCAAGTCTTTCACTCTAACTACTGGAAAAAAGAATGGAGACAGGTAATCAGAAACAGCATCGCGCGAAACACAGTGGGCCAAAGGCTGGCAAGAAAAAGAAGCGTCATTTAAAAGACTTGGGAATTGAAGATGAGGAGGATGCCAGGAAGAGAAATCCAAAGGCCTTTGCAGTCCAGTCTGCTGTCCGGATGGCCAGAACCTTCCACAGGTATATTACTGATAGATTTTATTATCAATCTTATCTCTACCTCAGCCACAATATGCAGATTTATTCCTTTTGAAATTTAATGAAATCGCATGCAGCATTTTTTCAGACTCAAGTATGTTTTGCAGCTGGAATGAACAAATAGTTTGAGCTTTCTTCAGATGTATCCATAGCGAAGATTTCTCTGTGTCTAGTATATTACTGCATTCCCACCCACCCTACTTTTCTGGGAAAATAGAGCAGAGCAGTGCTACAGTCTTGCAATAATTCTGTGGGAGGTTACACTGTGTGACTAGCTAAAGACCACTCAAGGAACTGGGCTTTAAGCGTTGAAGTCTAGCAATGCAATTATTGCATCACACTGTGTCTCAGACCACTGTATACAGTTTTGAAATTGTTCCTGTTTAACATATTAAGACAAGAGTCCTGAAGTAAATGGATGTAATTAATGGCATGAAGTAATCTGTTAGGTTTGTGGAATATCATGAGTGATAGGATTTAAGAATGGTTGAAGAATTGGACCATACAAATTGAATTATTTTGATTCATTCTAGCTTGCCTAGAATAATTTCCTGAAAATGGGATTCTTCCTAAAAGATATATTGTTGCTGATTTGTAAAACATTGTAACTTTATGAGGTAGTAACAAAATTTGCTTTCCCTCCTTTCTTTTCTGATTGTACAATATCATCTAGGTTGTAAGCATGAGAGCAGGGACTGGTCAGTTGCTGTTCTTATATCAGGTAGCCTTGGAACCTTTTGGGGTAAAAAGTGAGGTAAAGGGGTTTTCAATAAATTAAATAAACTGCAGCAAGGGGATATTGTGGTCCTGATCACATGTGAACTTAAGGCAGGCTAGGCTTGGTCTAATACTAAGTGGTGTTCTGCTACAATATGATTGCAATCATTGTTCCTTTATAAATTAAAATAATTTCTCCCCCTTTCTAAAAACAGGACTCAAGATTTGAAGACAAAAAAGCATCACATTCCTGTGGTTGACCGCACTCCATTAGAGCCTCCACCTGTGGTGGTAGTTGTGGTTGGCCCTCCAAAAGTTGGGAAGAGCACCTTGATAAAATGTCTCATTAAGAATTTCACGAGGCAGAAATTAGTTGAAATCCGAGGCCCTGTAACAATTGTATCAGGTAAGAACTGATAGGTACATCCGAGTCTTACTGCAGTTATTAGTGTTCTGTTTATAACAGTGCTGTAGTGGGTTTTGTGGGCTGAAATATTTTGAAGTAGATTTTTTTAAAAAAGGAAAAAATAAAATAAAATCCTGTGCACCTTTTTGAACCCCTTCTTTTTCCAAAAATTATTTTTTAAAATATTGGGTAGGGCAAGGTACCTAAAATGCCTTGGGAAGCACATGTGGTTTGTAGGCAGCATGTTGTTCACTCTTGCTCTGCACTATAACTGGTGTCAACAGTAGTTCAGAACCCATCTGTCATCAAACAAGTTTCCAAATGTACAAAATGCATACCATAGTTTATAATGTAGTGCAGCCCTCCAGATGTTGGATTACAGCTCCCAGCATTTACCTTCATTGGTTATTCTGGGTAGGGCTTTGGAAGTTGTAGGCAAACAACATCTAAAGCCCAGCAACTACTGGTATGGGCCTACACCTCAGTTTTCACTTCCCAGATTTGTTGCTGTCTTGATAGTGCAGAAGGTGAAAGAGCAGCTGTAACTGGTTTGTTAATTCAGACATCATAAAAAGCTATAATTAATGCAAGCCATGATTTGAAAACTCACTTCAGTTCTAGATTCTAGTTTACTGGGTGAACTCAGTGGCTTGTCAATTCAGACATCATGAGAAAAAATAATTGTAGATTGGTGTGATATATGATTTGTCCCAGTGTGCACAATTATAATTCTCAATTATGTATGTTGAAGATAATGTCTAGTTTGTCATCTTGCTTGGGTTGTGGATTTCTGTATTTGGGCACAATATAGCAAAAACTGGACTTTTTGTGTACTTTCTTTTCTCTTTTTAATGGAAATGAATTCATTTATGTTAAACACAGTGGTCAAAATCCTGCTGCTTTGCATAGTAAATTGCACTAGAGTAGGCAGATTGACTCGGTGGAGATTTAATGAATCAACTCCTCTGTAAGTTCCATTGATTCAAATGGGACCACGTTAACTGCAACTTACTTTAGCATAGTAATTCACAGAGTAGGCCCATTTGGAAAAGTTGAACATACAGAAGAGTGGACTCATTAAATTCCCATTGATTCAGTGGGTATACTGTACTGTGATTTACTATGCTAAGCAATAGGGTTTTGGACAGTTACCAAAATAGGAGAGTATGAAAAGCATGAAAATAATGAGCAAGCCATGGATGTGAGTAGTGAGGCTTAGTGCGAATCACTTGTCTGTGTGCTGTGTATAGTCATACATAATATTGTAATATATAATCGAAATAATCCAGAACTACTTCAGTTTCCCTACTGATACACCTATTTGTAAAAGGGATCAATTATTACATGTTTTGGTAAACAAGAGAACTGTAGTCTCATTTGTAGTTTGGCTATTAACTTTCTGTTATAACAACTGTAAAATGTATTTATATAGTACAAAAAGTGGACCGTTTATATCTCCCCTTCTCTTTACAGGGAAAAAACGTAGGCTGACCATAATTGAATGTGGATGTGATATTAATACAATGATTGATCTGGCTAAAGTTGCTGATTTGGTAAGTTGTGGACAATGATACAGTTTTTTTAAATATATAAAATCTATTTTGGAGAAACATCACATGCTAATGAGAAGATTCATAAGATTCAAATTCCTAATGCTGTGGGATTGTGGTATAAGAATAGTAGCTGCATTGTGTAACACACGTGTCCTAAATCTCATTAAGTGTGTTAGAATTAGTATGTAGCATATTGAAGACTAACAGATTTTATTTGCCACAAAGCCTTCGTGGACTACAACTCAGTGTCATTAGATGCATAGGGTATTGCCTCACCTGGCATATTACTGTATATAAGGTGTCTTTGTGGGTAGAAGATTGTGGTTGGTAAGATCAGATGCAATTGAAGTCCTAAAAAGTCAGTCAGTGCTAATTAACAAACAATACTTAGGGCCCAAATACTTGGGTAATGACAGGGACAGCCTTGCATTGATGGCCAATTAGCATATGTAGCTTTTGTTCCTGCTCTGGTTACAAGAGACAAAACTTGAGCCTCTAGATGTTGTTGCATTCTGTCTCCAGTAGGGACAATCAAGATTGCAGTTTTAAATGTGGATCATAAATTTTGGATCTAAAGAGCTTCCGTTCAGCTTCAGATTAATTTTTCAGCTGACCGATTTCTCCATTGTTTCTCTTTCAGGTTTTGATGCTAATTGATGCCAGTTTTGGCTTTGAAATGGAAACATTTGAATTTCTGAACATTTGCCAAGTGCATGGCTTTCCCAAAATCATGGGTGTTCTTACACACTTAGATACCTTCAAGAACAACAAACAGCTCAAGAAAACTAAAAAGAGATTAAAGCACAGATTTTGGACTGAAGTGTATCCGGTATGATTGTGTAGTAATTGTGCATAAATGAGTCACCCTGTGTTGTGTATCTAAAAGAAAGAAGGCATATGTGTCCACAATGTCTGGATGATCTTTGCAGTTGCAATGTAGAATTTTAGTCAGGGTTGCTAACAGACTGCGTTGAATCTTTTGTAGTTCGTTTCTATCTATGTGGATTCATCTCAGAAATGACTGGTAGTTTTATAGCTCCATGTCTTTTCATGGGTTCAGTCACACACTTCGACATTATTCGGGAGGATTTTATATCATCAGAATTGGTAGCAATCATTCAGCATCCAAGCAGTATTTTGATATAAAATATGTATTTCAGGACAAGCATTCATTCATGTAGTTGTGCCCTTTTCCATTGCTTTGCAATCTTGACATATTTATGCAACACACTATGTTATATGCACTTAAAGCAAAAAATGGCATATTCTGTGATCTGTGTAAAATTTACATCGTTTTATTTCTGTTACTGCATATTTTCATCTGCTCTGTTAATTATTGGCTGGAGAAAATGAGCAAAGAGTTGCATAGGCCAGTGTAGCTTCACCTCTCACTGCTGTTCAGACACTGGATGAGTTTCCATGTCATAGTCCTAAAGGGAACCATGGGATCCCTGGCTTGGTGGATATCAGTAAGATGCTGGTGTACATTGTCTGCCTAATTTCAGCATCATTAGTATTGATTTTACTAGCACACTGCAAGTACACAACAAGCTTAGGTCTAGATCAGGGTTATCTGATCAGGGTTATCTGATACAGAGTGACATGCAAACTGGGCCTTGTTCCAGCTTCTTAGTTTTATTAGTTACAGTTCATGCATTTCCAGTATATTTTATAAATGACACAAAACTAGTGATAGCAAAATTTAACCTGTCCAGCACAAGGCTGTTCCTGAAAATTGCATACTTAGAGGAAGTCCTTGTACCTCTCCCCATCTCACCCCTATGATATAATATCAATGTCAATTATGATAAAATGAAGTCATATATCATTGATAGTCAACAGAGTAGAACATGGGTAAAACACTGCTAGATGTTACAGAGACAAGAAATTGAGGGTTGATGTGAGGATGCTGGTTTTGCTCTCAAGCCCATTGAACATAATATGGAGGTTCAAGGAAGGTGGATTATGCTGGTTTTGCTTTCAAGCCCATTGAGCATAATATGGAGGTTCAAGGAAGGTGGATTTCAGTACCACATTCCATGGTTTGTCTATCCATGCATAGATTTGTCCAACACGTTACGCTGAGAGGGAATCCCAACTTTCCTGGAAAAAACAATTATATGAAATCAAATGTAGTACTTTGCCTCATTTGTAGTAAAATACATGAGTTCTGCATCTTAATTGTTTCATTTGTGAATGTAGGGTGCCAAATTGTTCTATCTCTCCGGGATGGTGCATGGAGAATATCAAAAGCAAGAAGTCCATAACCTGGGACGCTTTATTTCTGTTATGAAATTTCGTCCTCTTACTTGGCAAACTTCTCATCCCTATGTTCTAGCAGACAGGTAATTTTGCTTTGTATTTTTCCAGTTTTCCTCCACCAGCCCACATTGTTAGATGATTTTTATTGTTGCATTACAATATTGTGAAGATTTCTGATATTTGATATCCACAACTGTTTCCTTTTAGATTTTGAAAATGGGTCATGGTAACAGAGCAGCCAGTGATGAGCAGACAGGTTCATCCTAGTATAGATACAGAGAATAATAAACATATGGTGATTATGTCTGTATATAGGCAGTGAAGGCCAGGGATGGGCAGAATTCCCGGGGGCCCATATGCATCTCCCAGCACCCTGCCCACCTTCCCCAATTTATTTTCTAGAAAAATGTTGTTTAAAAGGGTTGGGGTTTTTTGCATTTCAAGGAAGGTTGGGGAAAGTTTGCTTCCCCAACTATAACTTTCAGGGTACTACCTAATCTAAAAATTGTCAGCACTTTTTAAATCAGCCATCACTGATGTAAATTTGTGAAAGCACATCTGTAACATCTACACATATATCCAGATCATACAAAGATTTCCAGTCACCATAGTTGTGTTAGTTTGCATATTCAATGACAGCTTGCCCTTGTCTTCTCCCAGTGATTATTAAACAATGCAGTTGATCTTTGCTGCATTGGTTTCTGTTACTCCACTTAAACACTTCTCTAGTTTTGTTGCCAGGGTGCCTACAAACTTGATGGTGATTTCTAAAAAGGTATTTCAGGTGCTTATAAGGACTTGAAGATTTTGTTTTTGCTAATGCCAGTAAGACTGTACCAGTATCCATCAGACATGGGATGTTGTTGCTGGCAAATGCAGCAAAAGAGAACATGGTAACATTCAGGGTTACACCAAAAATAAAAAGAGGGGTTTTTTTTAAAGGAAAAGTTTGAATGCTTAAATATAGGCTGTTTCTGGAGCAGACTGTAACATGTTTAAATTTTCAGAAAACTTTGTTCTGAAACAACTTCTTATGTTTTGTAGAATGGAAGATTTAACAAACCCGGAAGAAATCAGAGTTAATCCAAAGTGTGACAGAAAGATTTCACTTTATGGTTATTTAAGAGGAGCACACTTGAAAAACAAAAGCCAAATACACATGCCAGGTTGGACGCAATCACTTTTAAAAAAATAGTTGTTTTTTTACTCTCTGTCCTGTACTTTTAAGATCAATTGACAAAATGATTTATATATACTTTGCATCCAGGGAGCATATTAAAAAAATATGCTGGGTCCTTAATTGATAAATATAATAATCCACCTCTCCACACCATCCCAGCTGCAAATAACTGTAACTTTTGAGGAAAGGCTGAAAACAACTCTGATAAAGATAAGAAGTATTGCTGTTCCCGTATTGCAGACTGAGGGTTGAGACCGCAATCTGTAAATCCTGCTGAGCATGATAAAACTCCAACTTCTAAGTAAACATGCATAGGACAGTGCTGGAAGTGCCCTTCCTAAAGCTACCTGTGAATTAGTGACTGAATTCATTGTGGTAGGTCCTTTAAAGAACCCATGTGCTTGCATTCTACACCTCTGTGTGTGATTAAGAAATCCTACATAATGTAGCAGTCTTAATAGGAATTATTGAAAGAGAAAAACACACTTTCAGTCGCATTCAAAATCTCCTAATACTCGAGTACTGTATGTGAATTGGAGCACATTCATTCTACTGAACTCAATGAGACAAAATTAATTTAAATACAGAATTGGTTGCACTTCCTGTTTTTTAAAAATATTTTTTAAGCAGTATACAGTCGTACCTCAACTTACGAACGTCTCCACTTATGAACATTTCGAGTTATGAACTGCTCCGTTCACAAAATGTTGCTTCAACTTGCGAACGGAGCTTTGACTTGTGAACAAAAAACCCGTTTCCTGCCCTTTTTTGACCTAAGTTCGTCTTAGGTCAAAAGAATAAGAAAAAATTTCTCCCCTTAGTGGTAGAGTACGGATTAACCAGCTTTGTATTAGTTCCTCTGGGAACTAATACCTCTACTTGCAAACAGCGCCTCGACATAAGAACAAAAAACAGCCAGTACGGATTAAATGCTTTTCAATGCATTCTTGTAGGAAATTTTGCCTTGACTTACGAACGTTTCAACGTACGAATGCCGTTCCAATACAGATTAAGCTATTAAATTAAGGTACCACCTTGGAAGCCCTGTTAGGGTCTCAATAGGTTGGTTCTGACTTGAAAGCACATAAAAACGTTATATTTCTTAACATGGGTAACTACTTAATATGTCTTGGTCAGATGGGAAATATGAGAAACAGGTACTTTGATTGCAGAGTGGGATTCAGTTTTGTAGGTAGCAATATCTTAAAATCAGAATTAAATTGAGCTTAGTAGCAATCTGCAAAAACTTTCAAGAAATCTAATCTGTGTAGCACTTTGCTGACACACAATCATAGTAATGATCATTTTACGATCATTGCACAAATTATTGATTTTAACCAGTTCTTCTTTTGTACCTATTCCTGCTTACTTTCCTTTTCCATCAGGTGTGGGTGATTTCACTGTAAGTGATGTCAGTTTTCTCCCAGACCCTTGTGCTCTTCCCGACCACCAGAAGAAACGTTCATTAAATGAGAAGGAAAAGCTGATTTATGCTCCTCTGTCAGGTGTTGGTGGCCTAGTATATGACAAAGATGCTGTTTATATTGACTTGGGAGGAAGTCATGCACATCAGCATGCAGAGGTAAGAATTTAAGTGCTTGGCTTTATATTGCTAATAATAAATGTTCCCGCTAATCTGGGTGCACGTGTGCATGACTGCTTCCCTCTGCATTGCTATCTTCCTTCTCTGTGCAGCGATCATGTTAGGTTTTGGTCATGACGGAACTCATCATACGGGGGCGGATTTGTGCACGCATGCAGGGGCGAAGTCGTGCACGAGAGGCGGAACCCTGCCCAACAGGGTTGAAACTTAGAGGGTACATTGCTAATAATACATTGTTAATTCTAAACACACTTGTTGCTCTCTGCCTTTCCATGCTTTATAAGTCACATGGCGCTAAACATGTTTGAGAGAAAATAATTAATTTATATTAGTCCAGTAAAAGTGTAGACTGAGAAATTAGCCTGGTTTCTAGCATTTACCTGCATTTCAGTTTTTACCATAGATATTTATAAACAAGATATATTGTGTTGTTGTCTGGAAGAGTTCATAATTCCTTCTTAGAGATTTGATTGCATTTATTTTTGAGGAATTGTCCAGGAGAAAAATCAACCTGATTTTGTTCCAGTTTTTAGGTGTTGAGTATAATTCTTAGAGATTCAGGCAGTCAGAAGAGTACTTTGACAGATAGTTTATGCAAACACCAGAGTGAGTTGATCAACAATGATTTCTGAAACAAGTTTGGTTTGTCAGGAGGAAGTAAGACCAAACCATGAACTAGTCCAGAGCCTCATCTCCACACACTCAACTATTGATAGCAAGATGGCTTCAAGCAAAGTGTCTCTCTTCATGGATTCCGAACCACTAGGGACTGAAGACATTGATGTTCAAGAGTAAGTTACAATCTTCGGATCAAGTGAAGCAGCATTTCTCGATTACAGAGTGGAACAGTTTAGAGAACATTTCATTTCGTATTTATAAACGTGACTTTTCAGTTTGGAGTCTTAAGCTGTCCATAGGGTTAGTTACTCTCAAATTGTGCAGCCTCATAGTAATGTAAACTGTGTATACGGTCATATAGGCAGGGTTTACATGACAGATCTTTTCCATCTGAACAGCACACACAGTGCTGATTAGGTGTGAGAAACCTGTTTGATCTACCTACTTGTGTGATTGTACTGTTCTCATGTGACTAGCGTATGAGTATGAGGTTTACTTCAGAATGCTGAAAATTCCAACATTTTTCTGCAAGATATATGTGTAGCCTTTATATTAGACAGAGACTTGTGGTGGTACTGATCATAAGGGAAAAAAGGGGTATGCTGTTTTCATTATTCTGGTGGAGTAAGGGGGTTATTTTATAGTTGTGAGATTAAAAAGCCATTGGTGTCTTGGAACTGAAGTATGTTTTTCAGTTTGTTAATTTTTGAATCATTGCTGAAAACTGTTTTGATGCTTTGCTTTTGTCCAACTTCAGAAACATTTTTGTGATGCCCAAAGAAGAGAAGAAAGTTGACTCCCACACTGGGAGGGTACGTCGAAAGGCAGTGTTTGAAGACGAAGATGAAGGAAGTGATGAAGAAGATGAAGAAATGTCTGTGGATGACAAAGGAGGTGGGAATCATGAGGAGGATGAAGAAGGAGAACACGGTGACAATGATATTCCAGGTCAGGAACTGGTCATGAGAACTTCCAACCAGACTGAAAAGGAACTCAAACAGGAAAAGCTAACAGAGCTGCCAGCATTCGCTGATAGTGATGACGATCTTGAGATGACTTCAGATGAGGAAGAGGAAACTGGCCTTGCTTGGAGTGGAGAAGAGGGAGATGGCAGCAAACAGGAAAGTGATGAGGAAAAGATGAGCAATACTTTGTCTGTACCTAGAAATACAGATTTATGTCATAGGCCTGTGAGCTGTGAAAAAGGCAGAAAAGCCAAAGAGTTGAAAAATACTAGAAGCCAGGATAAAAAGATGGCTCTTGAAGAAGCATCAGTATCTGAGACGGAAGAGTCTTCTTTAGAGGAGGAAGGTGAACCAATAGATGATTCTGATATTGAAGAGTCTTCTGGGGAAGAGTCCCAGCCACAGAGTGCTGGTTTTAGAATACCTGAGTCAAGGTCTCTGAAAATTGAGGATGATGTTGAAGATCTGTTGAAAGAGGAAGAAGAATATATAGAAGCCTCTGACTTTTCTGCAGACACTGCTGGTAGGTACTGTTAGTATGTTGCTTTCGTGTTCTCTAATTGCTAGAAAAAGGACTCGTGTGAAATGGCTTACATGTCAGTGCCTGTTATCCAATCAGTCCTATGGTCTTATTTTGCATAAATTAAATATAAATAACTGCTGTTAATTCCTGTGCAGTATTTTTTGCATGCTGTTTTATAATTTTACATAGGAAGAAGCTAAGGACGAAATTCTGTATCCGCTTAAATTCAAAGTAAGCCTCATGCCTCTAAGCATGCGTGTGAGTGTACACATACAAAGAACTGCCTTGTAAATTGCCTGTGTGAGATGTAATTAAGAAAAAACATGTTCACCTCAACATTAGAGCTTTTGAAATTATCTAATGATGATTAATGTCAGCAGGCACAATTTATTTTGAAGTTGTGAGGACTATTTACATTAGAGATGTTGCCAAAATCAATGACTATTTTTAGAAATTCAGACAAGAAAACTATGTTTGGTTCTTTCAGGTGCACTTAAATGGAAAGAAGATCTTACTCAAAAGGCAGCTGAAGCATTTCTGAGGCAACAACAGTCCGCTCCCAATCTCCGCAAACTTGTTTATGGGACAGGTAAAATGCATTGCCTAGTCTGAGGTAGAAAATGTAAGGAAACCTATAAAATGTGCAGGGAAAGAAAGGAAGGGAGGAAACAGAAGACAATTAAGTCATAATATTATGACTCTGCTACCATAAATTTTACTAGCCTGCTGGTCCAGATAAATTTATGATGTTCTTCCATGGTACATTGTCAGCCTGAAAGAAGAAGAGATCAACTTTCCTCAGTTTATGAAATGTTCATCATTTGGTTACCTTGATTCTTATAGGTAACCAGGCTAATTACTATTTATAAACATAATGTTTGTTGGAAGGTCCATGCTTTCTGGGTTCCATTGAAGAGGTGGCCAGATGATAGATCTGGATCCGTTAGTAGAGCTGTTACTGTGATTTGTGATTGAAGTGCAAGGATTTCAGATTAGCAGAGGTTTAACAGTAAGAGTCCCTATCCCTTCTTCTAAATTATACTTCTGAAGTTAAGAAAGCTTGGATTTTTGTGTGGAACTCAGTTAAGCTTTAATAGAAATTTGTAGACCCAGGATGCTTTAACTTCAAATCTGTATCTTTTGTACTGGGCTCAAGAGGGTTTGTTTCAGGATTATTGTTTTTTTTTTTTTTAAATCCTATAAGACTGAGGTCTTACTATCTATCTACTAATGTGTGCTCCAAAAACTCTGTTAACCGAGTTTCCAGGACTCGGCTTAGTTGAAATCCCAACCATCAAAACTGAATTAAAGTGCTGGTAAACTGTGCAAAATACTGATCACAGTGGTAAGTACTGACAGGTGATCACTTTAAGAAACATGTGCGCTTCAGAAATTATAGTGTTTGGCAGACTAAAAAATCCAGAAAAATTGGCAGTAGCTGAACATGCCCTAAAACAAACTGGACATGAAATTTTATTTCAAATACTGAAGTACTGGATAACACCAGCAATCATTATGTTAGACTCCACAGGGAAGCCATTGAAATCCACAAACACCAGCAGAGCTTCAACAAAAAAGAAAGTCTAAAACTCAACAAAGCCTGGCTCCCAGCACTGAAAAATACAGCCTGGTTGGTTGGTTGGTTGGTTAAGAAAGTCAGTGAGTATTTAGCAGTGGAGTGATAGCCTATTCAGTATACAAGTATATTCCATTGAAGCTTGGGCTGTAAAGGATATAAAAATCTCTGTCATGAATAGCAGTGGTAGAATGACATGAATGTTAATTAATTATACTGAGGAGACTGGCCTTTTACAGTTGCTAATGAACTTTTCTTTATAGGAGGTTGTCTGGGCAATTCACACATCATAATTTCTGGGTTGTTCTCTTCTATACTGGAAGCACTGGAAACTTTCTTGAAACTAAAGTGTTTTTTATTCCTGTTTAGTGGCTGAGGATGAGGAGAATGAGCCACAAGAAGATGAACTCGGAGGGTTGTTCCACGTTAGCCGTCCCGACAAGGAGTCCAAACGAAAAGCAGATGCCCTTGACTGCTCCAAATTTCATGTGGAAGCCCCTCAAGATTGGAACTTAGATGAGGTGTTTTTGCTTGAGATCCTTTGCCTGTTGTAGGTTTTATATTGTGAGGATGGTCAGTTTGTGACGCTCATGGAGGTTAAGGAAAGAAATGCTGTAGATAAAAGAATGAAAAGAGGCAGCTCCCAGAGGCAGATGTGCTAGTTAGGAGTACTGTACAGATGTTGTCCTTTTTCAGCCAGCTGTTGAAACAGGCAGAGGTTGGAAGAGGATAATGCTGGTGGTAGATGCATTGTGTGTTTCTTCCTAAAGTCCAGGATCTCTGAGCTTTGGTGGTCTCAGTGATGAAAGAAGTGCGTCATGGCTGGACTTTGAAAGGTCGGGGAAAAGAAGTGGCCAGTGGTTTGGTATAGGATGGAAGATAATGGAGAGTTTTTGAAGGGAAGACAGGATACTGAGGCAGGTTGAAAAAAGCAAAGACAGAATATTGGAATTATGAATACATGTGTATGGTTTACATTTGTTTACTCCTGTCATGTGGAGGGAGGCCTTAAGGGCAGATTATTGCCTGTGAAGACTTCAAAGGAGAATAAAGCCATGTTGCATGACAATAGGGTAGACTCATGGCTTACTTTAATGCTAAACTGAACCAATTTTGCTTAAATTTATGAGTTCATGGATTACTGAGAAAACACAGTAGTGGAAATTTTCTTTAAAAAGAGCAAATGATTTGAAAATATTTTTAAAATACTTAGTATGGTGGGCTCAAGCCATTGTATCTAACGTGGTAACATGATTTCATCTAGTTGTTTCTAGTATATATCTGGATTTTGGGACCTATAACAAACATGCTCTTCTTTCTTTCTGGCAGGTGATGAACAGTATTAGGGACTGTTTTGTGACTGGAAACTGGGAAGCTGATAAAGATGCAGCAAAACTATTAAAGGAAGATGGTGCGTCAAAGAGTTCTCCTTTGTTAGTTGTTCTTTTAATGCATGTAATGAAAAGTCCTGCTTTTTAATATTCTGTTTCAGCCCTTGTGGGTATAGCTGCTTGTGATTGGCTTTGGTGTGATAAGTAAGGCCTGTTTCGGGGTGGGGGAAGATTGAAGGAGGTAGTGAGATAATTCTTTATCCTGGAACAATGATGAGGGTTATAGGGATGATCTGGATGTGAACCTCTTTGTTTGGGAGAGCAGCACTCCTTGGTATACTTTTTTAGACACAGTTTTCCATGTTAAGAAGGAATGGGCTCTGAGGTGGTTGTGATTCCTTGGTTAGAGGACTTTTGTGGCAGTATTCTCCTTGTTTTAATTAGAATATTAAAAAATCCTATATTTAAAAAGAATTAATTTTAAAAAAAGAATTAAAAAATCCTATATTTTAGACATGAATGTGGAAGAGGCTTCATAAAAGTCTCTGGATCTGGTGGGCGTACATGAAGGGTCAAAAACCAAGAACATTCATTTTGGCCAAGACTGGGGGTGTACTTTGATATCCAAAGGGAGATTTGGGATTGCCTTCCCTTTTCTGCTATAGCCTTCGGTGCTTCCAGAAAGCTGTTCTGCTACGTGGTTGTTGAGAGGGAGGGGGTTATTGGTTCTGGCAAAAGACTTGGGATCCAGCAGAGGTACATCCACAGCCCTGTTTTCTATATTATACAATTTCTTTATCAAGCTTCATGGAAAAGCACATCCATCCAAATAAGTGATCTATCCAGTATGCTGTAATTGATTTTCACACCTTATGAAAATGTCCAAAAAGAAGAGACAGGGTAGGGGGACCTGTGTTTGATTCAAAGAGAACACACTGAAGTATGTACATGATGTAGACTGTTAATGGGGGTAAACAAGATACGGCTGTATAAGAAAGTCTGCATTGGAAAATACTAATAATATTTCTGACTTTTTTTTTGTAGAAGAGTTATATGGTGATTTTGAAGACCTTGAAACAGGAACCATACACAAAGGCAAACAGAGTGATCCAGGAAATCAGGTTTGAGGAAAATTCATATTTGCTTGTTTAACAAAGCCTAGTAAATGACAAAATTTCTTATTAAGAGAGCTGTTTCACTTCCTGTATAAGACACTTTTCAGTTGAGTGATAGTGAAAATAGAACCTATAGTTTACAGACATACTAAAATGAGTAATTTGTTTCTCTATGAGAGCCAGACTGATTTTCACATATTCTTGCTATGGTGAGTCCTGGATATTGATAATCACTAGTTCACAATTTTCATTGCCACCCCATAATTCCCATACCATGATTTTGTTTCCCGATCAACTCATTCCACCAGATCCTCTTAGGCCATGCTCCTATGAGGTGCCACATCAAGGGAGGCCTGAAGGACATACACTAAAAATCAAGTCTTCTCAGCTGTGGCGAATGGGCTCTGAAAGGAGCTGTGCCTGTCGAATTATTGCTTGATGCTGTTTGGTTTGTCCGCCTCTGTGTTGTTTTATTAATTTGATTTTGATTATGTTATGTTTGTACTGTATTGCTATTGTCCTTTTACCGCATTGGCTTTGACTTTGATTGTTAGTACCTTGCACTAATCGGGCATTATAAGAGTTTAAGAAATAAAACAAATAAATAAATTGTTCATTAGACATTTAGATCAACCCAAAGTACGAAGTCACATTATTTATGTAAGATTTACATTAAAAACTTATGCATCGTGATTCATGTTCCCTAAAAACAGTGGTGGCAAACCACACAGAATGAAGATTTACCGTGATCATGCTGTGAAAGGAAATATTTACATTTGCTCATATGATAGCATATTCCTTTTTTGTTTTGTTTTTTCAATTGCTTATCTTTGATACTTTCACAGGAAATTGTAATAATGTATTTCAACTTCATGTGAAATCACTTTTTGAAGACTAATTACCTGTAAGAGAGCCAGTGTGGTGTAGAGTGATGGAATAGGACTTTGGAACCCTGGATTCCAAAGTACAGTACAGTACTGTACTTGTTTGGCCCTGAAAACTGTGTTCATATACTGTACTGTACTTGTTTGGCCCTGAAAACTGTGTACATGGTTGCAGTGGTAAACTCACTCCTTAAATATCTCACATGCCTTGAATGTTGCAGTGCTAAACCCACTCCTTAAATATCTCACACGCCTTGAAAAGCCTATCAGCGTTGCCATGTCAGGTGTGACTTGAAGACACAGCCTATCAGGCTTGCCATGTCAGGTGTGACTTGAAGACACATAACAGCAGTTACACACATTTCTGCTTTAGTCCACATATATTTAAGGTGCTTGGAAAGGCAGGTCACATACTTAAAAATATAGCTACTGCAGATCCAGTGTACTGTCTCCTTTGCCTGCACTCTGAAATACCATTTCTTAGCCTCAAGGTATAAATTACCACAGTTCTTTTAGAACTTGCAGTCCCTCACACTCTGATTATTCTACTGTGTTTAGAGCATTGTTGGAAGTACCAGCTTAGGCAGGACTCTGCAAGTAGAGTGTTGCAGGGTTAAAACCTACTTCTTAGTTATAACAGATGAGGAAGAGAAGCGTGTTAGCCTAGCTTTATTTCCTTCTTTTGCTGGTTTTATACTGACAGGGATTTTTAAAATTTTTTTTTGGCATAAGTGATTCTTCACATACAGTAGTATATTTGCCTTCAGACATACAGTTCATTCTGCTCTCTCATCCTCACCCATTTTTGCTGCAGGTGTAATATCTAGAAATGAGCTTGCCTCCCTTTTTTTGTCAATAAACTGATGCACAGAATTCAGGAACCTTATTCTCTTTTATCAAAAATGTGTCCATTCATGCTTTCTTCAGGGGAAAATTTATGTTATATTGGATATGATATAGCACAATGCCACAAAAATGTCATTAACGCTGTACTGCCATCACACAAACAATCCTTTGTTCCATTGCTTGGATTATAAAATGGCTGTTGCCAGAGCTGGCTGATTGTCTTATAAAACAAAAGGTTTCAGAAGGGTCAGATGAGACAAAAATATTTTTTTTCTCCTTTTGTCCACACTCCACTGTTAGGCAGGAAATGAAGAAGAGAAAGAGGATGGTGAAGGAGAAGACGGCAAAACTAGCAAAGAGGAAGAGGAGAAGCAGCAGCGCATAGATAAGAAGCGCAAACTGAAAGAAATGTTCGATGCTGAATATGATGAAGGGGATGCCACTTACTTTGATGATCTGAAAGGGGAAATGCAGAGACAAGCTCAGGTATGAATGTCGAACTTGCATTTCAGTCCTGTGCCAAGGCATGGGCCGGCACCTTGTTTAATTAGCTGCAGTTTATCACCATAATTTATGTGAATACAGTGGGGTCTTGACTTGAGAACTTAATCCGTATTGGAAGGCGGTTCTCAAGTCAAAAAGTTCTCAAGTCAAATCTGCATTTCCCATAGGAATGCATTGAAAACCATTTGATCCGTATCTGCTCTTTTCCGTCCATAGAAACTAATGGGAAGCTGCTATTCTGCCTTCGACCACTAGATGGGGATATTTTGTTTCTTTTTTTCTTAGGTCAAGAAAGGTTCAGGGAAGGCAGGGAAAATACAGTCCAGGCAGTCCAGTACCAGGCAGTCTGAAGACTGTCTCCCAAGCCACTCTCTAAACGCTGGGAGGAGTGAGGAAGCAGACAGGCACCCTTTTCACTGCCCAACAGTTAACTGAAAGTTCACATTTTGCACTTTCCCTGCCTCCCACGTGGGTTTTTTTCAGTTCTTAACTCAAATCTAAGTACTTAAGTCAAGTCAGTATTTTCCTATGAGAGCAGTTCTTAAGTCAAAATGTTCTTAACTCAAGTCGTTCTTAAGTCAAGACCCCACTGTACAGGTACTCCATAGTAAAATCTCAATGTGGACAGTTATTTATTTTATTTTACTTGATTTATATCCCGCCCATCTGGTATATTATACCACTCTGGGCGGCTAACAACAGCATGTATACAATTAAAATAATATAATATAAATCCAATTATATTTCCTTATTCTAATTTATTTTTCTTTCTTCCTCTTAATGGCTGTCTAAACTGATTCTGTCACACAGCTTAACAGGGCTGAATTTGAAGATCAAGATGATGAGACCAGAGTTCAGTATGAGGGCTTTCGGCCAGGAATGTATATCCGAATAGAACTTGAGAGTGTTCCTTGTGAATTGGTGCTAAATTTTGACCCACACTATCCAATTATCTTGGGTGGCTTGGGAAACACAGAAGGAAATGTGGGTTATGTGCAGGTATGTAGTAAAACCCTTTTGCAATTCTTTTTGCAATTCTGGTGCAGGATTCTCGTTTATCACCATGTCCCTTTTCTCTGTGTGCAGTTTTTTTTGGATGGGAAGTATGGACCTCTGAAAATGGTGTCAGAGAAGCTCTAATGGTGTGAGCAATTCCAACCTTAATTAAAACTACCATTTCTTGACAGGGATAGTCATCCAATCCATTGCTATACTTAAATTCTTCAATTTTTTCCCTTTACACTTCTAAAATGCTATAATGGTGGCTTGTGAGGTCTCAGCTGTATGTACTCTTTTGTAACACAAATAATAAAACTTCTGTGATTCTTGCTACCCAGTTATCCTGTTGTCTGTAATTTGTGGGTTGAATGCAAAGGATGTCCTTCTACATGTCAAAGGTCATTTTCTACTCTGTTGAGAGCTGTTTTACTCCTTGCAGCAGAAAAATGAAAGTATAGTGGTGCCTCGCATAACGAGCGCACTGTTTAACGACGAATCCGGATAGCAATCTATTTTTTTAGATCGCTAATGCGATCGTATTGCAATGTTTTAATGGGCAAAACATCGCATTGCAATGATTGGTAAGCGTTTCACTTACCGATCTTCGCATTGCGATGTTCCTAAAACAGCTGATTGGCAGTTCCAAAATGGCCGGTGCAACCATTTTCGCGTGGTTTCCTCACTTACCGAGGGCGCGAAAATGGCAGCGCTATGGAGGAACTTCGCTGAACAGTGAGTTTAGGCCCCATAGGAACGCATTAAACGAAGTTTAATGCGTTCCTATGGTTTTTTCCGTTCCGTTTAGCGATGTTTCCACATAGCGACGATTAATCTGGAACGGATTAACGTCGCTATGCGGGGCACCACTGTAAATTTGACCTTGTACTCCTATGGCCACTTAACATTGTTGGACGTGTGACAATTTGCAATCACATCCATCTGTCTGTTAAAGCACTTTGTGAATGCTTAGCTAGTGTTTGTGCAGTTATTTTTATAACAATTTTAGCAGCTGCCTTTTTAATCTAAGCTTTCGAGTGTCTCTTTAGAGGTGAGACATGTGAACTGTTTCTTTCATTTCCCTGATCCCTAAGACAATGTGATTCTTCAGGTTTCCATTTAGGAGTTCAGGGTCGTATTACAATGATCTGTTGTCAATTTTGAAGTGTAGCAGATAAACCTCCAGTACTTTCAATAATTCTCTGTACAGCTGAAGTGAAATGAACCTCCAGGCGCAAAAGAGATTGCTAACATAATTGGTGTTAATGTTGAAGGCTGCTTTTGGTTTAATTAGTCCTTGGTTTTCCTCAGATGCGCCTCAAGAAGCATCGCTGGTATAAGAAAATACTCAAGACTCGTGATCCTCTGATTCTGTCATTAGGCTGGAGGAGGTTTCAAACCATCCCTATATACTACATTGAAGACCATAATGGGCGTCACAGGCTACTTAAGTATACACCACAGCATATGCATTGTGGAGCAACATTTTGGGGTAAGAGTAATTGTACCTTTCTCGTGAGGGAGAGCTCCTTTCTCTTTGAGGGAGAGCTCCAGGCACCTCCTGTAAAGCTGTGTTCTTAACAATAAATATTACTTGATAAAATGAGAGACAATACAGGTGGAGAAGCTTTGGCCTTTCAAATGTTTTTGAATGTCAGCTACCCAGTGTCATAAAGCACAGTGGGAGTTGTACGCCATAACATATGGAGGGTCTGCGCTTTCTCACTCCTGATATAAGCTCACAGAGGTTACTGTGTGAAATGTAGAGAGGAGTTGATTCATATAAGTTGTCGGGCTCTAAGGTGTTTGCCATCTCCCCAGTCATTTGTAAAGAGGCAGAGCGTTCTATAGCTATCTATTTATCGGCATTACTATAAATGTAATAATCATTTTCTCCTAGATAATAAAATAACAAACATCTCGTCCGAAAATGGAATAAATTGAATTCAGCTGGTGAAAGTGGTCTATGAGGGAAATAACAGTGATAATGCTGTTTTAGTATCTGAGAATGACATTTCACTGACACTATACTTATACAGTGCTGCAGATTGTCTAGCAGGGTACTAGGCAAGTTCTTTGCATATGAAATATGCCACTTGTAAACTAGATGAAGACAAACATCAAAACCAGATATGAAAATTGATCTCAGGCAGGAGTTGTTCCTTAGCCTGCACCTTAGTATCTTGAGGTCCTTGGAGGAAAGATGGAATGTAAATGTAACAAATAATAAATACTGCATGAAAGAGCCTAATGCAAGAAATGTCTGCATTTGTTTACCTTGAACCGCAGATGGATGTCTGATAAATAAAACAATATATCTCATTTTTGAAAGGAGTTATTCATAGTCGTAACAGCCTTGTTTGCTTTAAATTTTATTTCTCCTGCTGTCTTCAGTGGAAGACATGCTGTATATCCATGACATCCATGGTTAATCTTATTTTTCAGGCCCTATCACACCACAAGGGACAGGATGTTTGGCAATCCAGTCAGTGAGTGGTACAACAGTAAGTATTTTTTTAGCAATTTAGGGCAGCTTTCCCCAGTTAATGCCTCTCTGTGTTTTGAACTCCAGCTCTCATGTTTCCCAGCCAACTCTAGTTGATGGGGAGAATTGAGGAACAGGTTTCTCATGTTGTGATGCTGTATTTTAGATCAAACAAATCATGCAAGAGACTCAATAATTCTGAAAGATTTAAAGCACAATATGAAATGAAAGCCCCTCTCTCCTCCAGGCCCATTATAAGGCATACTTGGAAGCCAAACTCTGAAATTCCTGATAAGAAATTAGGATAAATACCCTTAAATCATTTATCATTTTCTACCATATTTTAGTTCTATAGAAGGTTACATTTTATGATATATATATAATTGTAAACTTGCCTGTACTTGGATGTATTTCAGCCTGATTTTCGGATAGCTGCCACTGGAGTTGTACTTGACTTAGATAAGTCTATAAGAATTGTGAAGAAATTAAAGTTGACTGGTTTCCCATTCAAAATTTACAAGAATACAGCATTTATTAAGGTATGTATTTTAGCAGTAGCTATTGTATTTCCATATATATGGTGCTCAATAGTTTGTGTGTAGATTGCATTTTTAAATAAATCCCCAGATACTCCAGTAATGAGTGAAATATGAGCAATATGCCATACTGTTGAAAACCTTTGAAGCTGAGTAGAATCTGTATAAAACATTCACAGAGCAGGATTAAAACATCCATAACCACCTGCCTTGGGTGGCATTAGTTCTTCCCTTGTTTCTTTATTGAACTTATTAATTCTGCGGTTCTGGTTAAGAAGTTTCCAGAGCTCAAATTGTTTGAGCAGCTAAAGGGGAGCCTTATCAGGTGTTACAATTCTGTGGTATTCTAAAGCAGGGGTCCCCAACCCCCCATCCATGGCCCGGTGCCAGTCCATGGCCTTGGCAGGAACCGGGCCGCAGAGACAGATCTCCTCCCCCCCGCACCCCTTCCTCCATGCACGCCCAAGTGCATGCACAGCCTGCCCACATGCATGGGTGCCCTGCATGCATGAGCACACCCTGCCTATCTGTGCATGCGTGCAAGCGCACGCACGCCACACGTGATGCAGCCTGCCTACCCGCGCATGCATGAGCATGCCCTGCGCTCACCCATAAGCACAGCCTGCCCATCTGCGCATGCACGCAAGCACACCCCGCCCACCAACAAGTGCAGGGGAGAGTGGCCTGCCCCCCCACGCATGGACCGTGTTTCCCCCAACCAGTCCACAGTTCTGAACAGATTGGGGAGCACTGCTCTAAAGCACTTTGGGCAGAACAGTGGCCTTCTTTTACAAGATCATTGTTAAACAGTAGCATTCAGCTTCCAGAGGTCCAGTGACTGCATGTACCCACTCTTAGACCATGGAGTGCAAACTCTTATCTGCCCCATTAAAAAAAAAAATCAGAACACACACCCCCATGCATGGGGAGCAGTTTTACTAGGGCATTTGCTTACTCTGAACTGTTTTAGTGCCCAAGAGAGGTCTCCACCCCCCCCAAAAAAAACCTCAGAAGCATTCAAAAATTACTTCCAAGTTTTGAAAAAAGCTCCTGCCCATATATAGCAGCTTACACGAAGGCAAAAATATGGCAGAGTTGTATTTACAGATCCAAAAGACATAAGGGTGTTAGGTGTGGCAAGAGAGATAAATACTTAAAATGCTACATAATGTACATACTAAGTATTCCATGGCTAAAGGGTGCCATGGATTTTTTTCTGTGGATACAAACATTGTTCTATCGGTTGTAGTCCGTCTTGCCCCTGACTGCTCAGCAGCAGCTTTGTGTGAATATTAGCAGTAAAGCCTTGTCAAGAGGCTTGGGGCTGTTTTCTTCATTGCTCCTCTTATGGTAGGGAAAGAAAACCAACAGGAATCCATCCCTATTTGACGATTTGGAGAAAGTCCAGGATTCTCTTCTGGAGTTCTCTAGTGTTAAAGGTGGGATGGGGTGGTTAGAGAAATTCATGCGGCATAGATCTAACAGGAGCTCTTGCTTAGAGTCATCTGATTGAACCTCCATGTCAAGAGGGGTGAACTTTTGAACATACCTAACTGGCAAAAATCATTTTATTTGAAGAGGCCTTTAGAAATATCTTACCCCTTTGATATCCTTGTGTGCCCATGAATTGAATTGACTATTTATTTTGATTTGCCACCCAGATTTCCTTCATTTTTTGGACATCCTGGGTTTAAATGTTTATTCGTTCTCTTTAATTATGTCCTTGTGGGCGGGATTGAGTAGTTGTGTTTTAACTGTTAGCCACCCAGAATAGTGCTTAGGTACTCTGTTGTTAGCCACCCAGAATAGTGCTTAGGTACTAGATGGGTGGTATATAAATGTAATGGATAAAATAAATTATAAGGGTTGTAATACCTTCTAGGTTTTCTACTTCCCTGACAGCCATTACTGTAGCGAGATGGTGGTAGTGGGGGACTGTTGCTTCCATGGTCTTGTTTGTGCAATTGCTAGAACATTTGGCAAGCTTTAGTTGTGTTCATTAAATCGGACTAGATATAGTTTCATGGACTACTGGAGCAAACTTTTCCTAGATCAAGAGTGACATCTAAGACACTAGTTTTCATGTCCTAGCCGTCCATATAATCCTTACTCTACTGAAAAAAATAGTCACAGAAATATGGACTGCGTATGAACTATCACCCTTAATACAGTGGTGCCCGGCATAGCGACGATAATCCGTTCAGGAAAAATCGTCGCTATGTGGATTCGTCGCTATTCGGAACAAAAAAGCCCATAGGAATGCATTAAAACACGTTTAATGCGTTCCTATGGGCAAAAAACTCACAGTTATGCGAAAATCCTCCATACGGCCGCCATTTTCACTGCCCGGTAAGCGAGGAATGGGAGCGAAAACACTGCGAGCGGCCATTTTGGAACCTCCAATCAGATGTCTAAAAACATAGCTATGCGAAAATCGGTAAGCGAAACAGCTTACCGATCATCGCAAAGCGATGTTTTACCATTAAAAACATTGCAATGCAATCGCAAAAACAATCGCAAAAAACACATCGCTATGCGGATTCGTTGTTAAATGGGGCACCCGTTATGCGGCGCACCACTGTATTTTAGGCACAGTTTGTGTTTGCACTCATATTTCTTTGTATCACATTGCTTAATTCATTAATCATATAGGGGCACCAGTAGATCTGCCATAACTTTGTCAGGTTGCATGTTGAATACATGGAACTTTGCTGTATTTGAAATCTGTTGGTTACTAGGAAGGATTAGTTTGAACTTAAGTGGCTGTCTTAGGGGGTGGAATGTGATGGTTCCTCCTAATGGTATATACAGATAACTCCCAGTTGCTTAAGCTGTGACATTTAATTTGAACTTTCTTTGTGGGAGGTGTGTCTGTCAGCTTTGAGAGCATGCATATCTGTTCCTTTTGAGATTCAGACCTTGCCCCATGCTTTCTATTGTAATTCAAAGTCTCTTCATCCAAAGACGGACATACTTGCCAACTTTCATTCATTATGATTTTATTACAGACTTAAAGGTTAACTGTAAACAAACCATCCTTCTCTGTTTGCAATGGACTCTGATGATGAACTATTGCAGGAAAAGTTCAGAGATAAGCTAATTGTTTTATTGAAGGGTTTGCATTTTTTGTTCCTAGATGGCAGCACTACATGCTCCTTTGAAAGCCACTTTTGAAATCCCACTAGTCATGGTTTAGTAAATGTAAAGTAGTTCTTTGGATCTTGGCATTTATTTGTAGTGTTAAAATTTTTTTAGAGATTTCTTAGTGACAGTGATATTTTTTAAAAAACTTCACAAATGTGCTTAGAAGGAAATTAGGAAAAATGCACACTAAATGAAAGGTATTCTATTATTGCTTTGTCTTTGTTTCACACCACATAGGGAATGTTTAACTCTGTATTAGAAGTGGCTAAGTTTGAAGGAGCAGCTATTCGTACTGTGAGTGGTATCCGAGGACAAATTAAAAAAGCCCTCCGAACGCCAGAGGGTGCCTTCAGAGCAACATTTGAAGACAAATTGCTTATGAGTGGTAAGTCAATCTTCCAGTTATCCAAAAGATCATTAATAGAAAATACTTTGTTACGAGTTTTCAATTTGAACTCTAGAAATAGCGTACGTTGGATGTTTTCCACCATCCATTATGCCAGACAGTTCCTGAAGCCTAACCTAAGCAGTTTCTTGTAGAGATCTATTGTCATAAACTGTCCTCTTCTGTAAATCAGTTGTTACTGTATAAGGGATAAAGTTTAGATATCACTTTAATAACAAGTAAGAGTTCTTCTTTGTGGCCTCTGTGAATCACACCCTGGGTGATTCACGCCTGTGTGGAGCCTCATCGGAAGATTCTAGACCTTCTGTGATAGCAGTAAACACATTAGAATATGCCCCTCCCCACCCATATAAATATTTTGGCGCCAAGCATCCCTTTTCAGTTTCTTTCAACTGCTGCGTTGAGAGCCTCATAATTCTGCTTCTGTGAGCAAAAAAGAAAGAGAGCTTATTTTTGATTCCTTCCTGTTATCAATCTTTTTTTCTTTTAAACTATTAAATCAAACTCATCATCATCAGAGATTTTTTTCTTTCCCCTCACTCTGCCTCTGGCCGCAGCACCCCCCCCCCTTCAATCATTGGTTTTTCTCCTCAATTATTTTTTCCTATTCATGGCCCCTTTGGGCCCGTTTAAACACTGCATTTCTGTGATAATAAGATCCCACTTTCCAACGGACACGCTAAGTGCCTTTTCTGTTTGGGAGAACGACATCAAACTTCCTTCTGTACCCATTGCGAAAATTTTAAGCACTGAGTTCTTTGATCTCGCCTCTCGAGGTTAAAACTCCGACTTTGGGAACAGTCCTTACAACCAGTTCAAATGGCCCAACCTCCCTGTAGGGCCACTTCCTAAACCAAAGCAATGGAAAAAGCCATTACTGAATTATCGAAACAATGTCCATCAGCTACCCCAGCTCATTCCAATTCTCCATCTGCATCGACTAAGACCTCAAAGACACACAGATCAAAACTCTTTATACTGAAGTCCTCGACTTCGAAAACAACTAAACTTCAGAGACCGAAATGAGCTAAACAGTCTAAGCCTACAGACATACAACCACAACAACTCTGAATCAATTTCGGTCAGATCTCCCTCAGGTGATGATAGACTTCTGTCCCATCAACCCTGATCTCAGTCTCCACCAAGGGGTTGATAGAATCGACCGCCTAACATCCTCTCCTCCCAGTCCACAACCTTCCATTCCTTCCAGCAATCCTTGAATTATTCCATCCCCTGAGGATTCCCATCCCAAACGGCTTGACACTGTGCCGTATTCGATGCCCTCGGATCACCCACTGATCCCTAACCAGAACCGTTGACGTCAACAATCTCAACAGCTCGCTTCATCGCGTGTGGTTCAAACTCATGCTCAGCATGCACACCGGGTTGCCATTTTCCTTGACCAGTGCTCTGCTTGACAAACTGCACCGACTAGTCGACCAGGTGTTTTACCCGATTTGATAATACCATCTAGTAGTCAGCTGACCTCTCGACAAGCATCGGTGTTGAAGTGGCCACATCACCGAGAGGTGACTATACCTCATTTGGTATCGAAAAAACTTCAGACAGTCGAGTAGATTTCAGCCACACATGACACTTTTGCAGCCTCAGCCTCCTGATCCTTTCCTACTATAATAGATGACGGAAATCACTTTTCACGCTCGGCATCGCCAGCGTCTGTTTATTCTACTACTATGCCATCACATCAGTAACCCCCGTTTCAACATCACAGAGACATAGGCTCTGATATCAAGGATCCTTGATATCGATCCTGGTCCATGGACACACGCTCCATTCCATTGCATCAACACAGTTCCTGTCCTCTGGTAAATCCAAGTCATTGACCCTAGCACGGTTATTACACCAAGGTCAACACCGAGGTCCATCCCTACCAGTTGAGGTCCGTCGACGCTCAGCCACCATATTTTTATGTCAGCGATCCTTGACATTGACAACATTGACAAATGTCCATGGACATGCTGCCTCCATCTTTTTCAACTCATAACTGGCAATACTACGAAACTCAGCCTCTTGACACTGAAGTTGATCGATAGTCTGTGCCTCTGCCACTTGGGCACAGCTGTTTGACACTGAAGTCGATCGATAGTCTGTGCCGCTGCCACTTGGGCACAGCTGTCCACGTTTATTCATCATTATAGAGTCGATCTCCAGCAGAAGTCTGGAGGACATGGTGTTCTAGCCTCTACCTTGGCATGACAACCTACCTCCGGGTAAGACAGCTTATTAGTTACCCAGGGTGTGATTCACAGAGGTCACGAAGAAGAATGACAGGTTACCCACCTGTAATTGTAGTTCTTCAAGTGGACCTCTGTGATTTACACATCCTGCCCGTCCTCCCCTATGTCACACCATTGTTTCTTACTGTTAAGCGCTGGTTGACGCAACTGAAAGGGGACACTTGGTGCCAAGGTACTTATACAGGTGGGGAGGGCATATTCCAATGTGTTTATTGCTACCACAGAAGTTCTAGAATCTTCCCAATGTGTTTATCACTACCACAGAAGTTCTAGAATCTTCCGATGAGGCTCTGCGCAGCCGCAAATCACCCAGGGTGTAAATCACAGAGGTCCACTTAAAGAATTACAACCGCGGATCACCCAGGGTGTAAATCACAGACGTCCACTCGAAGAATTACAATTACAGGCGCGTAACGTGTCGTTTCATGGTATGGTTTTAGAGTATGTTTCTCTTGGTAATAGACAGCATTTAGATATTAACTGAAGTGTTAATTAATCTATGTAAGTTAGAGGGTTTCAGCTATAACAGTGGTTCCCAACCTTGGATCCCCAGATCTTGGACTGCAACTCCCAGAAATGCTGGCCAGCACGGTGAGTGGTGAAGGCTTCTGGGAGTTTTAGTCTGGGGACCCAAGGTTGAGAACCACTAGACTACAGGGATGTTGGTGCATTTATGTTTTACCTTCTGACAGTTTATGTTCATATCCCACTTTCCCCCCAGTGAGTTCAGGGGAACATATAAGACTCGTCTTCACATGTTCACAACAACTCTGTGTGATCAGTCAGGCCAAAACAAAGTTTGACTTGGCCAGGGCCACTTGGCAGGTTTCATGGCTCAATGGGGGTTTCCAGTCTGGATCTCCTAATTTCCAGTTCAGGGTCACTTGGCAGGTTTGTTTCCAGTCTGGATCTCCTAATTTCCAGTCCAACATCCTATCTGACTCTAGCTTTCAAGCCCTGGTATACACATGCAGCTGGATGAGATGTTTAAATTGCTTTGCACCAATGTATGCCATTGGTAATGTATGGCATAATTTTCTTGAATGCACCTTATATGAGAAGCTCAATGGAAGTAGAAAGTGGGCATAGAGGTGGGAGGACTGAGCTAAGACTTTCCTCCTTTATGCGTTAAGTTTTGTTTTTTTAAAACGCAGAGTTTTTCCCCATAAAGGAGCATTCAAAATAGCATTCTCCCAGAAACTTTTTGAGAGAGCCCAATCTGTCTTATTCTGCTACACATGTATCCCAAGCCTAGTAGGAATTTCAGTGGTATCTTGGTTTACGAATGTCTTGGTTAACATAATTTTCAGTTTACGAATGAAAATCCTTTGAAAAAAATGCCTCAGTTTACGATTTTTTTTTTTGCATTACGAAGCAAGTTTCCCCAGATTGCCATGTTTTAAAAGTTGATGCTTGATGTTTTAGAATTTGAAATTCGATGTTTGAAATGTTACTGCTTGATTAATTATTAAGACTTTTTAAAAACTTTTTTTCTGAACTCCGGAACAGATTAATTGGTTTTCAGTGCGTTCCTATGGGAAACTGCATTTCGGTTTATGAATTTTTCGCAATACAAAATGTCCCAGAGAATGCATTAAATTCGTAAACCGAGGTACCGCTGTATGTTTTATTCTGTCTGTGAACTGCTTTTAGTGGATGTTGCCCTGAAAGGTATAATAAAGTTACTGCAATAAAGCAAGCTTTTAATTCATTATTATAAAGGTAAAGGTAAATTCATTATTAATGTATTGATAATTCATTAATAAGTTATTGGATGATATTTAGATCGGTTATGCCTGTGCAACAGAAATGATGTCATTGTCAGTGGCAGATTGCTGCTGATTAAAGAGTTCCTTTTTCAATTTCAGGATGCATGTAACTTTGTCTCATTGTGTGCAAGCTTGAAAAAAATTTTTCAGTCAGTGGGAATCTGCTGCTGACAGTGTCATTCCTGTTGAACTGTAGAGCTGCACATCTGGATTTTGATCATTTTCAGTAAATTATATCTTAAGTGTTTAAGGTGCAAGGTGTCCAGAACTTGGAAAATGACGTTTTATATTTTATGGTCTACATTTCTTGTATATGAATTTGAGTTGGTGCACTGACTCATCACCTAGCAGCTTTGCACAACTTATTCCTCAAAATGGCTGCTACACACTTTAAATTTTTTTTTTATTTCAAGTATTTCTGTGTCTCTTTAACATCCTCTCAGTGTAGCTTACAATGGGAAAAAACATATGGGTGAAAAATTTAAAAATAAATCTAAAGCGTTTTTAAAACATTCATTTTATATCAAGTTAAACAGTTAAAAGGAAAAGTGGTTTCACTGTTTTCTTCCCTTTTCAGATATTGTGTTCTTGCGAACTTGGTATCCTGTATCCATTCCGGCCTTCTATAATCCAGTGACTTCGTTGCTAAAGCCTGTGGGTGAAAAAGACACCTGGGCAGGAATGAGGACTACAGGCCAGTTAAGGCGCGACAGGGGGATCAGGCTAAAACAAAACAAGGATTCACTATATAAGGTAGAGCTGTCTGTGGACTATGGGTACACTATTTCAGTGTTAAATAACTCTGAGGAAACTTAGATGCTTATTTCAAAACTGCTTATCTGTACTGAAAGAACATCTACATGAGTCTGTGTAATGGTATCTAATGGAGAGAATTCAGTTTTGACTCAGATTGTGCCTTTTGAATGTTAAGAACCCACATGGATTGCTTGTAGTCTTGAATGGTTTCTTGTTTGTATAATATTGAAGTTTATCTCAGCCTGCCTTGCTGGATGTTTGGCACTCTCCAGCAGGATGTGAAGAATAGGATTCACTCTGAGCATTTCAGTTCTGAGTGCTTGTTTTATGAGCTTTTAAATGAAGAAGAAAATCTGGTAATAAAGTCATTTTCTCAGATGTATTCTGTAGGAGCTGCTGCTTAGGTAACATGGGAAGAATTCACTTTTAGATTCTTCCATGTGCTAGTACTACCCACATGTTGTGGGGAGAAGCAGGAACTCCTTCCAAATTGCAAAGATTTTGAACCTTATTGTTTTGTTTCTGGGTAGAACTATAAACGTGTCATAAGGAGAAGGCCTAAATAAATAGCTTTTTATTTCACTTATTTCAAACATTTATTATAAGGCAAAGTACAATAAATGAATGGAAAATAGCAGTCCCACAGAAAACAAAAGGAGTATCACTGTTCAATTTACATTTTGCACTTTTTAGGTTATTGTGCGGGAAAAGAAGCATTTCAATAAACTGCATATCCCCAAAGCACTTCAAAAAGCTCTGCCCTTTAAGAGCAAGCCTAAGTTGCAAGAAGGAAAAGGAAAAGTCACAAAGGA